AACCCCAGTGACAGTTAATAAAATGAACATGCTCTTTTATATCACTTCCAAGGTAAAAGTTTTCCTTTTAAATCAGCTTTTTTTGTGTTTTTTTTGTTTTCTTTAATATTTTTATTAACTATCACAGCTAAGCTAACCCCCCCTCCCTTTTGTCTTCCCTGTTTAGCAGACTCCTATCCTGATGCATCCCCCCCGGCGGCATGCGGTGCTCCTGGACGTCCGTGGTGCTGCTGGCCCTGGCCTCCATAGCCATCCAGTTCACGGCCCTCCGGACCTTCTCCTCGGGCCCCTTCAGCCTGCTGTGCTCCGTGGGCCTGGCCCCCGCCCGCTGTTCGCCCAACTGCAGCCTTAAGGACGGGGCCCCGGGGGGGCAGGGCTGCACTGACCTCCTCCCCCACGGCCCCTCCCCCGTCTCCCTCTCGCCCCCGGCCCTGGACACCAACAGGAGGACCAACATCCTCATCCTGGCCACCACCAGGAGCGGGTCCTCGTTCGTGGGCCAACTGTTCAACCAGCATCCCGACGTAAGAAGCACAATACAGGAACGATGTGAATTATTTGTTTTTTTTATAGATCAGTTCAATTCAATTCCATTTCTATAGCGCCAAATCAAAACGACGTAAGAAGCAGAATACAGGAACGATGTGAATTCTCTGTTCTTTTAACAATCAATTTAATTCCATTTCTATAGCGCCAAATCAGAACGACGTAAAAAAGCAAAACAAGCAGAATACAGGAACGATGTGAATTATCTGTTCTTTTAACAATCAATTCAATTCCATTTCTATAGCGCCAAATCAAAACGACGTAAAAAAGCAAAACAAGCAGAATACAGGAACGATGTGAATTATCTGTTCTTTTAACAATCAATTCAATTCCATTTCTATAGCGCCAAATCAAAACGACGTAAGAAGCAAAACAACCGAAATCCAGTAACGATGTGAATTATTTGTTTTTTTATAGATCAATTCAATTCAATAGTATTTCTATAGCGCCAAATCAAAACTACAGTTATCTCCCAGCTTTCCAAACAGAGTGTCACGGGGTGGATCTTAAGGGAGGACTCAGGTGCGGAGAGGGTGGGTTCCAGGAGTTTATTGCAACAAAAAACACTCAAGAGGAGTCGATGGCAGACATGGTTAAAAAACAAGGCTGTGAAAAAACTATGAACAAAGTATCAAAGCAATGAAGTTAACAAGACTGTGGCATGGCTGTGGCAAAAATAAGACTATGGCAAGGTGCAAATAAAGATTAACAAAACTGTGGCAAAGTATCAAAACAAGACTATGGCAAAAATATCAAAGCAAGATTAACATGGCTGTGAAAAAACATGGCTATGACAAAAACAGTAAACAAGACTATGGCACTGCTGTGACAAAATCTAACCTTAAGTGGCGAGGGGTGACGAAAAACTCACAATGACAAAAACTCACTGGCACAGGACATGGGAAACGAGGACTATTTAAACACATGAGGGAGGGGAACCCCAGGTGTACACAATAGGTAATCAAGACATGACAACACACCAGACATTCCCCCAGACGTGACACAGAGCAGCTCAGACTCTGAGTTATTCACATAAGAACAACAATTCCCATCAAGAGCAGCACTAGGCGATACAGGGAGGGAAAAACTGCCTTTTAAAAGGCAAAAACCTGGAACAGAAGCATGGCTCAGTGTGGGGGGGGGGGG